CCCCACCCATGCCCCCAGAGAGGGCCAGCCACACCTCCCAGTTTCTTAGGCAATGGCCCAGGTAACTTACACCCGGGAAGCTCACAGGTGTGAGCCCGTTCACTAGTTCTCCTTGGCCCCACAGTCCACGCCATTTTTAGAATTACTTATTTACTGACATTTTACAGAGAACCCTAGCTGGTCCAGTGACCTTGTCTCCAGGGTCACACTGCACTAGAAGATTCAAGATCAGGGCTTAGGAGGGCCACAGCTGGCAGGGGGTGCTTGCATGGGGGCCCTTAGCCAGGAGACCTGGAACCTCCCCACCCCACTGCCAACCTTCCTCTGCAAGGGTATGACAGGAGAGATGAAGAGAGAAGGCAAGGGAACCGTTCATCCCACTGGGACCCTGGGCCGGACTCCCAGGAGCTGGCTGGGCCTTAGCGGCAGGACCTCAGCACCAACCAAGGCCTCAAGCTTCCCCTCCTACCAGAGGAAGGAATGAGCTAGACACACACCCCCAGAGAGAGGTGACCACCGCCACCTGGTCTGGGCCTGGCAGGCTGGCAAGGGGCTGAGAGAGCTGCCTGGATGAAGAAGGAGTCAAGCGTGGTGCCTGGGAAGAGGAGGCCAGCCCTGCGGAAGTGGGCTGAGGTGGACGGGGGCTGCCCACCACTCCAGGCCAGAGTGGAGTGCTTTCCTCTCTGGTTTTTGTCTTCTTCTTGTATAAACTGAGACTCCGCCACTTACCTCTCAGTTGAGTTGTAAGGGTTTAGAGATAAATAACTACTTAGAAGACAAGTCCAGGAAGGGTGTGGTGGCCAACAACATAGTGCTACTTTAAAAACACACAGGCTCCCCCAGGAAAGCAGGGAGGACAGAAAGCCAGGAAGTTCTTGAAAACAGACAAACAGGGTTGAACAATCAAGAGATACGAAGACTCAGGTACACTGAAGGCCACAGTTATGAAAGGGGAAGGTGGCGGGAGGAGAGACGGGAAGAGGGGAAGTGTGCAAGAGAAGTGGTGTGTGACTCTAAGCCGGGGCAGAGGTCAGGACCCACGGTCTGGAGCTGGGGGGTCCGGCAGACAAGGAATCTAAGTGACAGCCCTCGGGAAGAGAGGACACAGAGAGAGTGTGGGACCCGCTCCCAACAGGGGGAGGCCGCGCCCCCTGGCAGCCAGCAGGACTGCCAGCAGCACAGGCCTCTGACAGGCAGAACAGCTTCTGCGAGTGGGCTCGTACCCTGGCAAGTCTACGCAGTGCAGTTCAGGTAGAACACACATTCTCAACGACTGCCTGACTTACTAAGCCCACAGGGACACGTAAACGATCTGTTACCTACTTCAAGAAGTCTTACAGCAAAACTCGCCTGGGTATAAACCTGTTACTGCTCTGATAAGGAAGGAATGTGAAGATGTACTTACCTGCAAATAATCTATAAGTTCTGTGGCATTTGAAATTCTTATTTTTAACCCCTGGAGAAAGCAGTTCTGAAAAACAAAATATCAACAGCTCTGGTCTATAAGAGCACTTATAGGGAGGGTCTGTCACAAAAGCAAAAGGCTAAGTCAAGTCAATGGAGTAGAAAACAGGGTCCCCAAAAAGCCCTCCCCAGCCCCCCGTTGCAGAAACCGTGCAGCTGTGCAGGGTGCAAATACACAGAGCCAGCAACTACCCCATTCCCAGAGCCTACGGAGCTCATGCTGGAGACCCCTTCAAACGGATGCTCTGAAAATGGAAGAAGAGGCTGCTCACTTAAAAACAAACAAACAGAAGGGAACAGCAGTTGGCGTAATGGCTATGTCGCTGGACTCCCATGCAGTCGACCACAGTTCACGTCCTGAACCCGGTGGCTTGAAACTCACGCTGGTTGTGTGTGCGTGCGTGCCCAAGATCCCAAGAGGAGAATGAAGAAGGTACTGCGGCATGGCCATCCCCCCTGGGGGGTGATTTCTCTCTTTCTGTCTCTGTCTGGCGAGCGCTTGTACCCTATAGCAAAAAAAAAAAACCTCTCAAAAAAAAAAAAAAAAAAGGCGTCCAGGCCCGCGAGCACCAAGGATTTACATGAGAGTCAGATCATAACCGTTCCTGCTTGGGCGGTCCTGGCCCACCAGTATGGTCGGACACCCCTGTCCTTCTGCACACAGCTGCCATCTTGGCAAGACTGCCAGGTGCCAGGAGGTTCACCTGCAGATATCCTGTACTTGGCAGCCATTACTTTCCCTATTTCCTACCCCCATGACCTACGTGGGGTCCTCTTGTTGCCAATTATGTCATTCTCTTTCTAGAAAGCATCTGAGGTGGCAGCCAATACAGAAACACATATAACAAGCAGGAAAACGTACACCCACAAAACCAGTGTGGAGACAGCAAGTCAGCCCCGATGGCTGATGTGGGGTGCATGAGATGCAGGAGTGCAGGGCACAGGTGCCTACTTGGGTAGGGCTGCACTCCCGGCTCCTGATGGGAAAGTAAAATGGGAAGGACAGCCCATCACGTAACTCTCTCTTCCCCTTTCAGGTCCTCAACTGGGATAAAAAACCACGCTGGTGCTGAATGACGAGACAGCTGGAAACGTGAGAGGAGGGAGGACAGTGAGACCGGCCCAGCAGCCAAGCCCACCACCTTGTGAGCAGACCCGGAAGAGACAGTGCCGGACCACCAGGAGTGTGGTGTGAGGTGTGGGATGCAGGGAAGGGGCAACGTGCTCAGTTCAGATGGATTCTTCTACAGACCCAGACACCTTGCTGCTCTGAGAACTCTCCTTAGCTTGTCACATACCTGGTCGAGCTTCGGTATTATAAAACAACATTTTTCACAAACTCGGAACCTTGCTACAGGATTTCCTTAAAGCCACACTTCGAACAAGACAACGTTAACCTGGGGCTCCTCCTAAATGCTTGCAAGACATGCCAGCCCTGCTGAGCCCCAGAGAGATGGCAGACCCTGGCTGATAATGGCACAAATGCAGAGTGTGTGTCACTGCTCAGGAGGGCAGAGGAGCTTGTGCTGCTCCGGGGACACCTTCTCATTCACTAAGAAGGCCCATTTAGCCGGCTGCTCGGCAGGACTGCTAATGTGGAGGGCGGGCTGAGGGTGCCTAGTATCTACCACTGCTGCAGGAAATGCCTACAGAAGACGACGATGCTCTTCTGACAGACAAAAGTTCCTATTTTTGATATCTAGAGGAGTAGATGGTATATTCGGGCTAGCATGTGGCACGACGTTAAGGGTGCTGGACTCCCACATGGTCGACCGCGGTTCGAACCCTGGACCTGGCAGCTTGCTTTCTCACTTTCTCTCTCTCTCTCTATCCCTCTTGGTCAAATTTAAATAAATAAAGTTTAATAAAATAATTCTTAAAAAATGTATTTGGTATATTCATTTTTACCTTTATTTTTAAAAAGCCATTTTGGGGCCAGCAGGTAGACAATGAACTACCACATGGCCAACTGCGGTTTGAGTCCCAGACTTGGTGGCTTGGTTTCTCACTTTCCTACTCTCTCTCTCTTGCTCTGTCCCTTTCTGGTCAAATAAAAATAAATATATAAACAAAGTTAAATAAAATAATTCTTTTTAAAAAATAAAATAAAAAGACATTTGAATGAGATTGTAACACAGAGGCCAACTAAAAGTCAAGGAAGCGTGCTTCCTTAGCCTCACATCCCACAGAAATGCCAAGCACTGGGCTTGCTGGTCTGCAGGAGGGTCCGGCCACGCATACTGTTACCTTTACTAATTTCCAAGTCCACAGGGTATTCGATATTTTTGATAAGCTTCTGACATCCACCAGTCTTCTCGTAAACAAATCGCTTCAGGTGCAGCACGAGAACAGGAGGGAGTTTTTCCAGAGTCACTCTTCGACTTATCTCCACCTGGGACACAGGACACCGGACACAACGCCGTCTTACTCAGGACAGCAGGTGCATTGTCGTCTCCACCTCCCATGCAGAGCGCCTGAGAGCTGATGGCTTGGAGTCCCATGGCGGGGCTCCATACCCTCTCCTGACACCCCCTTGGGAAGAGCACGCACCGCGCCGGCTTTGTGCCTGTGGTCGGGGCAGCCGAGTCCCACGTGGCCAGCCCCCACCTCTGCTTATGTACCGGATCTCACAGGAGTGGTAAGACGGAGGAGGG